AATGAGCTGAAAGATTTTGGTTGAATATTGACTATGCTAGCAGAGAAACTGTTCTTCGCATTGGAGAATTGTAAACATTCTTGAGATCAGCTAGACAGGACCTCCAGAAAGCTGCACCTACAACAATGCAGTTGTCTTTCAGTACAGTATTGCATTTCATGATCAACCTAGGTTGTACACACCAATCTAGATTAAGTGAACAAGTTCTGAAGTGAGACTTGATCTCAAGAGTAGATTTTCCATTCAGTTTAAATACCAAGGAATAAAAGAATAGATTAATTCAATGTCAAGTGAGTTGATCCATTTCCAGCGTCGGTCTAATTAAAGTAATTGAGATGAATTCGAGACTTTAGATTCAGGATTCACCCATTGTTGAAAACTGATAGAAACATCATGCAGCCATTTAAAGAACAGGCTCGATCTACTTCTCCAGGGTTTCAACAAATGCTCTCGGACTTTATGCTGGGAGATCAGCAATGCCCTTTTGGAAATTCTACCACATGTTTTTTTAGTTCTACCTAATCTAATCAAACACAGTGTATGCTGGAGAAACTCAACAGGTTTGGCAGTATCCATGGAGGGAGAAACAGAGTTCACATTTTGAGTCCAGTCATGCTGGACTTGAAATGTTAACTCTGTTTCTCTCTCTACAGATGCTGCCAAACCTGCTGAGTTTCTCCAGCATTCTATGTTTGCTTTAGATTTCCAGCATCTGCATTTTGCCTTTACATCTTATTACATGAACTAATGAACAGTGATACATCACCTGAAACATTCTCTTTACTTCAGTGTATCTTCTTCCCACAGAAAACATTGTGCCATTCAAGCGCTACAAGATATCAGTTTACCCTTTGTACAATGATGGCCCTGGATCTCCACTTTCAACAAAGGCATATTTACAAGAAGACAGTAAGTGGATTCCAACAATGTCACCCTAAAACTTGCATACTTAAATCAAGTTTTAAAATTATCTAATTGTATTAATAGCAGGGCTGGTATCAAATTCTAGTCGAATTGGTTTCAAATATGTTTGCACAAGGTTTGAAGCTAGGCTGCAAATATTAAGCATTGAGTTAAATATTATTGAAAGAATCAACCAAGAGCCCAACATGAATTATGGCTGTGGAACATCTTATCCTTGCGTGTTAGTTGTGTCAGTACAATCACTTCACACCCTCCTGTTCTCAGAAATCACAGGAGATATTGTGATTATCACAACAACTAAATAATGTTATAGAGTGTATCTTATAACCACCATCTCAGGCAAGTGAAATGCAAAAGTATTATGAAGTGTATGACAGTTTGGTGCAGCTAGTCTTTTCCCAATCTTCATCCTTTTACAGGTCCAGCATCTGGTCCCTTTGTTCGTCTGAAGGAAGCAGGAAAAGCAGCAGCTCAGTTGGAATGGGATGAAATTCCAGTAAACGAAAGGCGTGGATTCATCACAAATTACACCATCTTTTGCAAGAGTGCTGGTGAAAATGAATCATGTGAGCTGAAAATAACCTTACCTTTCTTACTATTATTGAAATAAAACTCCCATTCAGTGATAGGGCCATAATTTACACAATTATGCCCGAGTTAAGTGAGTTAGATCTGTGGCTAAACATAGGGTAGTGGCCACACATTTGATTTCCTCTTCCTCCTTTGTTAATAAACATCCTGTAATTTTCCAGATCCATAAAGACTTTAAAAATTTCATACTGATCTGCAGTAAAATGCTTCTGCTGTTCTTAACTAATATACTTAATTGCCCAGTTCCCTACAAATGCTATAAATCTGTTTCATACTGTCCAATGGAAAATCAGTCATACTCTTTTTCATAAGATTGTTCAACAGTACGAGCAGAATAGCACTGTCTTATGGTTTTCAATGATCGTAAGTCATGAATCAGAACTTTGGGTGAGACTGAAATGGTCAGATTTACATATGTGGTAAGGGTAATATCTAAATTTAGATGAACATCTGTCGAGCAGACACAACTTTGTGGGCAAGGCTTTCAATTACATCATGTAGAATGCATGTGATAAGTTTTGCATTCCTCTTTTTATTGTAATATTTTTCTGCTTTTCTTCTTCTATCCACGTAACTCATCTAACATCACTCTCCAAAAAATTAAACAGTTACTGGTAGGAACAGTCCATTCCATGTGTTTTTAGTTTCTGATTTGGGAAGTTTTAAGAAATAAATCAATTTCCATCATGTTGACAGGTGAAATTATTACCTCCTCCGTTAGATGTTCAGGGATGAATTACTCTGGTCATTACATGTAGCAATGCCCTAAAGATTTGGTAATGGTATGTATTTATGATGTAACTACACAACATTGGATCCATCCATACCTTGTGTCCCTCAGACATTTGTAATTATTAACTAGAGAATATTTTGCACACTATCTTCATAACTGAACTGCACTTTCCATTTCTTTGCTGCTTGGTAATTGATTCAGATTTAAGTCAGACAAGGTAAGCTGGTGATTTCCTTTGCCAGAGATTCATTGATAACCAGGGTGGTTGTATTGCATTTCATTATTTGCCCCTCCTGGCCTACAAAGTACCAACTTATTGAATATAATGTTATAATTTTTGGATTTTAAATGTACGATATCGGAATTTTTAGTCCATTACCATACCACTACACTACTTTGGCCAGGTCTCCAGGTGCTATGAAGGGAGAAAGAGTCACAGATCCATCACACCAAGGCTCTGAAATTACTGGACTGGAATAAGTTGAATACTACGCTAAATTTAAGCCAGTTTAGCTGACCAGTATTAATACTATGTGGGGAGTTGCCGTATGTTGATCCAGTAATGATGCAGGGATGGTGATATGTGTCCAAGTCACAATAAAATGTGACTTGGACATGAAATTGAATTTGACAGATTTTTCTGTAGCTGCTATCATTATCTTTCATGGTGGTTGATGTCTTAGGTATATGAAGAACAAAATTCATACCACAGTCACAATACACTAGTCATCAGGGGTCTAATTGAGGTAAACAGGAATCAGAGCGGAAATTCTCTACTGGAGTATTACGTAGCACAAAAGATGATGGCTGTGGTTTCTGAAAGTCAGTACATTGGACAGGACATTGATGCAAGGATTCCTCAGGGTAGTGTCATAAGACTAACCATCTTCGGCTACTTCATCAATGATCTTCTATCCATCAGAAAGTCAAAGGTAGGGTTGTTCATTGATGATTGCACAATATTCAGCACCATTCACAACTCCTCAGCTACTGAAGTAATTCATGGTAATATGCAGAAAGACGTGGACAACATTCAGGCTCAGGCTGATAGTGTCAAATAAAATTAGCATTCCCCAACTACCAGGCATTGACTACCTCCAACAAGAGAGCATCGACCTATCTCTCTTGACATTCAATGGCATTACCATCACTGAATCTCCTACTATCAAGATCCTGGGCTTACCTTTGGCCAGGAACTGAGATCATAAACCTTGCTGAATATTATGTAATGCTTAGCAAACACCCTGACCTCTGAGTTAATGCTTCAGGTCTGGTGACCCTTCTCAGAACTGATGGTAGCTAGGAAAAGGATGGTTTTTATTCAGAAGGTGGGGTGGTGGGGAGGGGAGAGAGTAAACAATAGATGGAGATACAGCTGTGAACTGTGGACCTGCATGTTCAGATCTGTCTGAATGTTAGTGTTCCTAAGGGTTCTGCCTTTTACAATATAATTCACACCTAATTCACACCTAATTCACCAGATAAAATGAGGTTAGTCACCGTATTGGACACAATGGCCTGATGCTGTAATCCACATGGGTGGAGTCTGAGCCAGAGGCAGTCACTGAGGAATGTGACGTGGCTGTTGAAGCATGTTTTGCCAAATACCTTGTCAAATATCGGGAGCGACAGCAAAATTAATGACAAAGAACAAGAAAAAGAAAAAAAGATTGGAAAGGAAAACCTTTTGGAGAGAGGAGCAGAAGTTCTTCAAGGTGGGCATGCCTGAAGAGAAATGGCAGTGATTTAAACACTAGACAAAAAAATCAAAAGAACTGTGGATGCTGGAAATCTGAAACAACAACATAAATTGCTGGAAAATCTCAGTAGCATCTGTGAAGAGAAATCAGAGTTCACGTTTCGGGTCCAGTGACCCTTCTTCAGAACTGATGGTAGCTAGGAGAAAGATGTTTTTTACACAGAAGGTAGGGTTCGGGGTAGAGAATAAACAATAGGTGGAGGTAGAGCCCACCTTGTTCCCTGGCCAATATCTGTGGCTCAGGCTCGCTGCAGTGCTTCAGTGAAGCTCAACGCAAACTGGAAGAACAGCATCTTATTTTCAGCGCGGGAACTCTACAGCCTTCTGGAGTTAATATCAAGTTGAATAATTTTAGGGCTTTAACACCTTTCCCCATGCTTTCCCCTATCCCCACACACCAGGCCTTGTCATCACATGGGCTGCTGCTACACACAACCCACTGTCAGCCACTACTTGTCCCCATTTATAGCTATTTATTCTCCCAGGTTGATTGTTTTGCACTCCTTTGCTTGTCCACCTGTTTTTCTCTCTCTCTGGGCTCTATCTCCTCCTGTTGCTTCCTCCTTACCCTCTCCTCCCACCCTATCTTCTGGATAAAAAAATCCCTTTCCTAGCTACCATCAGTTCTGAAGAAGGGTCACCGGACCTGAAACGTTAACTCTGATTGTTCTCCACAGATGCTACCAGACTTGCTGAGATTTTTCAGAAATTTCTGCTTCTGTTTCAGATTTCCAGTATCTGCAGTTCTTTGGGTTTTATATCACTACCTCTGACCTTATCCTGGAGGTTCTCTCTCCATTTCTCTCTCCACAATTGCAGCCTTACCTGCTGAGTATTTCTAGCAGTTTTTGATTTATTCCAGAATATAATAATTAACGGCATACATTTTTTTGTTTAAATTGCTTTCTGTTCATTTGCCATTTATCCTAAATCTATCTGGCAACTGGCCCTCCTGCAACTGGAAATAATTTCTAATTACTTTACCAAAATTCATCAGAATTTGGATACCTGTACCAAACTGCTCACGACTTTCAATGCTATTGAGAATAATCCCACCATCACTAGTCCCCCAGTGTAACTGAAATCTTTCATTACTGGTGTTGTGTGTGAGAAAAATCTCTTTTGCACGCCCTCTAAGGTCTTGACAGCCATGCTAACTGACAGTATCCACAGTATCCAGTATCTAGATAACTAATGATTTTATAAAATAGTTTAGAATCAAACATACGTGTACTTTAGCAGGGCCTCTGGATACCAGTGGTGTACAAGATCCTTAACTGTTCGTTTTCTTTCCCTCATCCATATCCTAATTGTAGTACTTTACCATTACCAGCTGAGATCAGTTTAAACAAATACTAGAAAGTTCACTGAACTGTGTGACTTCATTCTTAAACACATTTGGAGGAATGTTACTGATGCAGGTCTACCATAGATAGCTTCCTTGGTACAGTGGTGTCAATAAGTAGTAAATAGTCTTGCTTTCATGGAAATTGGTTGGTACTGCAATCTACTGACTTATACCAGATCACAACGCAGGGCTGAAACAATAGACCATACCTTTGTCCTGTGACATGAATCACATAATCACCTCTTTTAGGTCTTCAATCAATCCAAAGGTGAATAGAGTAAATGTGTTGAGATGAGGCTTGAAAAACTCAACAAGGAGCCTGACTTCAGATCTGGGAAATGTAAGAGTTACTGTCGCTCATTTCAGTCAGTACTTTCCCTGTACAGGTAATGCAAAGTGAAGAACAGCCCATGACTCCCCGTAACAATCAAGTAATTTTACTGGATTTAAACAAGATGATTATGAAGTATTCTTCAGCATTTCTAATCACTTCTCTGGCTGTGTGCTTTTCTATGTTTCTGTACAGGAATGTATAAAACCTAAGAATTAGGAGTATAAGTAGACCATATCGCCGAGCCTGTTGCACCATTCACTGTGATCATGGCTGATCATTGGTGTTAACTCCACTTTCCCACCTGCTCCTATATCCCTTCATTCTCTGAGATACGTCTGTCTCAGACCTAAATATGTGAACAATGGCAGTGAACAATATCTGAACAATGGGGCACCCACAACCCTTTAGGATAGCGAATTCCAAAGATCCAAAACACTTCAAATAAAGAACTCTCTCCTCATTTCAGTCATAGAGCTATGCTGCATGGAAATGAACATTTAACCCTAAATAAATCTAGTCCCATTTTCCAGCATTTGACCCATATCCCTCTAAACCCTTCCTATTCATATACCCATCCACCCTAAATGAGTAATCTCTCATCCTGAGACTGTTACCCTGATGTTTTAGAATTGCCAGCCAGTGGAACCAACCTCTCAATCTCTATCTTAACTAGCCCCTTCACAGCCCACTCTGACTCATTGACATTAGCTCTCATTCCTCTATCCAGGCTGATTCTATGAATGGATGCAGCAAACGTAGAAGTGGTGCACAAAAAATAAAGGTAGAGTCACCATTATTTTACCAAATCATAGGGCTGATCTCCCATTAGAGAGAGATGACTGATGAGGATCACCACGCCACCGGTGAGGGGAGAGGTCGAGGAGGAGAATCCTTCATGGTAACCTCAGCCAGTGCAGGAAGTGAACCCACATCACTGGCATCACTCTGCATTATAAACGAGCCATCCAGCCAATTGAGCTAAATGACTCCCTAATGTACATAAAATAAGGCTGTTAAGGGAAGGCAATTATTGAAAGGAAGTGTTGTTTAAAGAAAAGGTTGATTGATATGGGGACATTACTGTATTTTTCAGTTTATACCAGTGTTTGCACTCTTGTTTACAATCTTTTGACAGATGTAACTGTGGGCTCAGCAAGTCGCCAATACACATTGGTTAACTTAAAAGGCAATACTTTGTACCGAGTAATTATCATGGCTTCTACAGCAAAAGGAGGTACAAATGGCACAGCCGTCTCTTTCAAAACATTAGCCTTTGGTAAGTTCTGAATGCTACTGGATCATGCTATGTATTCGTTTAGTTCAGTTTAACGCAATGTTGTTCATTCATTTTATAAACAAGTAAAAACTATTGCTGGATTCCTATTTCCATATTGGGAATGCTAGATTCAGGAAAATTGCTAGCACTGCAAACATGGCTTAGGAGAAAGTGTAACAGGATGTCAGATTTTCATACTGACGGGGTGACAGAGAAGGGAACAGATGTTAACTGGAGTTGAAGAGTTCTCCTCTTGATACCTATTGGCTATAGTTTTGCTAGGACTCTTTGATATCACATTCAGTCAAAAACAGCCTTGATGTCAAGGGCTGTCACTCTCACCTTACCTTGGAATTCAGCTCTTTTGTCTATATTTGGACCAAGGCTGTAATGAGGTCAGCAGCTGAGTGGCCCTGGCAGAACCCAACTGAGCATCACTGAGCATCTTATTGCTGAGTAGATGTGCTTGTTAGCACTGTTGATGACACCGTCCATCACTTTACTGAAGATCAAAATGAGACTGATAGGACGGTAATTGACCAGACCGAATTTCAGTCAGTTTTCAGTGCATGGCAGGAACATTGTCATCATCCTGTAGCCTTTGCTGAATCCATTATGTTCAGTCCTTTCTTGATATCACGGGAGTGAAGGAAATTGGCTAAAGACTGAAATCGGTATTACATGGGGACCTCAACATAATCCTGAGATGCATCTTTTAATTTATTCATGGGATGTGGGCACCATTGGCTGGGCCAGTATTTATTGCCCACCCCTAACTGCCCTTACCCCTAATTGCCCTTGAGCGGGTGATGGTGATCTGCCTTCTTGAACCACAGCAATCTATTTGTTTTAGGTAGACCTATAGTGCCATTAAGGATGGACTTTCATGATTTTGAACCAGAGATACTGAAGGAACAGTGATATGTTCCTAATACAGATATTTCCTCCATCATAATGTTGTAAGTGGGAATAATTGCCAATGATTGCATAATGTTCAGCACCATTCACAAATCCTCAGAAACTGAAGCAGTCCATTTCCATATGCAGCAAAATCTGGACAATATCCAGTTTTTGGCTGGCAAATAGCAAATACATTGTGTCACACTAGTGCCACGTAATGGCCATATTGAACAGGAAAGACTCTAAATATTGCCCCTTGATATCCGGTGGTATTACCATCACTGAAATCCCATGGCTTGAAAAGCACTTGCCACTTGTAAGCACAAACCTCAAAGCTGGATATTGTTGAGGTCTGGCTGTGTTTGGATATGGACTCCTTCATTATCTGAGGAGATAACACAGTATGGAGCTGGAGGAGCACAGCAGGCCAGGCAGCCTCAGAGGAGCAGGAAAGCTGACGCTTTGGGCCCATTTCTGAAGAAGGGTCCCAACCTGAAACGGCAACCTTCCTGCTCCTCTGATGCTGCCTGGCCTGCTGTGTTCCTCCAGTTTCATACTGTGTTATCTCTGACTCCAGCATCGGCAGTTCTTACTATCTCTTTTGCACTCATTGATGAACATCCCACTTCTGACTTTATGATGGAGGAGAAGTCATTGATGAAGCAGCTGAAGATGGTTGGGCCTAGCACACTACTATGAGGAACTCCGGCAGAGATGTCACAGAGCTGAGATCATGAGAACATAAGATATAAGAACAGAATTAGGCTATTTGGTCCATCACGTCCACTCTGTCATTTCATCAGGTTTCTCAACCCCGTTCTCCTGCCTTCTCCCAGTTACCCTTGATTCCCTTACTAATCAAGAACCTATCTATCTCTGTCTTAATTACACTCAATGACTTGGTCTCCACAACCCTGTGTAGCAATGAATTCCACAGATTAGCCACTCTCTGGCTGAAGAAATTCCTCCTCATCTCTGTTCTAAGTGGTAATCCCTTCACTCTGAGGCTGTATCCTTAGGTTCTAGTCTCTCCTACTAGTGGAGACATCTTCTCCATATCCACTCTTTCCAGGCCTCTCAGTGTTCTGTAAGTTTCAATCAGATCAACCCTCATCCTTTGAAACTCCATCGAGTACATTCCCAGAGTCCTCAACTGCTCCTCATACGACAAGCCTTTCATTCCTGGAATCATTCTTGTAAACCTCCTCTGGAACCCATCTGACACTAACGCATCCTACCTTAGATATGGGGCCCGAAACTGCACACAATATTCAAAATGAGGTCTGACCAGAGCCTTCCACGGTCTCGGTAGTACATCTCTGCTCTTGTACGTCAGCCCTCTTGAAATGAATGCTAACATTGTGTTTGCCTTCCTAACTGCCAACTTGCATGTCAACCTTATTCTGAGAATCCTGAACTAGGACTCCTAAGTCCCTTTGTCCTTTAGATTTCTGAAGCCTTTCTCTGGTTAAAAACGTGCATAACCTCACACTTGCCCACATTGTATCCCATCTACCACATCTTTGCCCACTCGCCTAGTACGTCCAAGTCCTTCTGCAGCCTCCCTGTTTCTTCAACACTGCCTGCCCCTTCATCTATCCTTGTGTCATCTGCAAACTTAGTAACAAAGCTCTCAGTTTCTTCTTCCAGATCGTTAATATATCACGCGAATATTTGTGGTCCCAACATGGACCCCTGCAGAACTCCACTAGTCACCAGATGCCATCATGAAAAAGACCCCTTTATTCCCACTCTCTGCATTATGCGATTGAGCCAATCCTCTATCCATGCCAGTCCCTTTCCCCTAAGATCATGGGCTCTTATCTTATTTAACAGCCTCCTGTGCAGCACCTTGTCAAAAGCCTTCTTGAAATCCAAATAGATCATGTCCACTGGCTCAACTTCGTCCAACTTGCTTGTTATGTCCTCAAAAAATTCTAACAGATTTATTAGGCAAGACCTTCTCTTGACGAAGCTGTGCTGACTCAGCCTATTTTACCATGCACTTCCAAGTAGTCCACAATCTCATCTCTATTAATGGACTCTAAAATCTTACCAACGACCAAGGTCAGTCTAATTGGCCTTTAATTTCCTGTCTTCTGCCTCCCTCCGTTCTTAAACAGGAGTGTTACATAAGCCATTTTCCAGTACGCTGGGACCCTCCCCAGCTCCAATGAGTCCTGAAAGATCATCATCAATGCCTCCACAATCTCCTCAGATGTCTCCTTCAGAACTCCAGGTGTAGTCCATCTTCAGACCTTCCAACTTCCCCAGCACATTCTCCTTAGTGATGGGAACAACACTCACCTCTCCCCCTGCCCCTTGATTCTCTTGAAGGTCTGGTATGCCGCTAGTGTCTTCCGCTGCAAAAACTGATGCAAAGTACCTATTCAGTTCATCTGTCATTTCTTTGTTCTCCATTACTACTTCTCCAGTCTCGTTTTCCAGCTGTCCAATGTCCACTCTAGCCTCCCTCTTACCTTTTAGATATCTAAAAATATTCTTACAACTTCTTTCATATTACCAGCTAGCTTACTCTCATGATGTTGTTGACTTGCTCACCAAACTGGCCTGTTCTCCTTCATCGTTGAATGAACATCAGCTCAGCGAGCAAGTCAACAACCTCACCCACAACCCGAGCTACAGATCTTTGCCAAAACTTTAAGCTTATTCTCATACTTCATCTTCTCCCACTTATTGCTTTTCTTATTGTCCTCTGCTGGTTTTTAAATTCTCCCCTGTTCTCTAGTTTTCCATGAATCTTCACCACATTGGATGCTTTTTATTTGGCTTTTATGCTGTCCCGAACTTTCCTTGTCAGCCATGGTTGCTTCATCCTCCCCTTACTATGGTTGCTCATCTTTGGAATGAATTGCTACTGTGTCTCCTGAATTAACCCTCCTCCCCCCAGAAACTCCTGGCATTGCTGCTCCACCATCTTCCTTGCTAGGCTCCCCTTCCAATCACCTCTGACCAGCTCCTCCCTCTTGTCTTTGTAGTTACCTTTACTCAATTGTAACACGGTTACATCCGATTCCAGCTTCTCCCTCGAACTGCAGGGTGAATTTTATCATTTTATGGTCATTGCCCCTTAGGGGTTCCTTCACCCTGAGCTTCCTAATCAAGTCTGCATGGTTTAAGATAACTGACCTCTAAAAACTACAATAATCTTCCTTTGTGCCAAGAATGACTCCAATCAGCAGAGATTTTTCCACCAATTCCCATTGACTCCAGTTTGATGAGGGCTCCTTGATGCCAGACTCAAATGCAGTCTTTATGTCAAGAGCAGTCAGTCTCACCTTCCCTCACCCAACCACTCAGCACATCAGGCTGAAGATGGATGCAAATGCTTCTGCCTTGTCTTTTGCGTTGATGTGCCAATATCCCTCATCATTGAATATGGGGGATTTGAAGTCACAAACGTTCACAATTGAATGTACCAAGACTGCAGAGCTTTGATCTGACACTTTGGTTGCGAGATCGCTTAACCATACTCATCACATGCTGTTTCTGATATTTGGTACATAAGCAAACCTGTGTTGTAGCTTCATCATCTCATTTTTATGATGCCTGGTGCTGCTTATGGCATGTCCTCCTGCACTCTTCACTCTTCAAAGTTAATCTTCTGTCTTGATAGGAATAATAAAGTGTGGGGAATATACTGGGCCTTGAAGTTACAGGTTGTAGTTGAATATAAATATGCTGCTGGCCATAGATATGCAGCTTTCAGTTGCTTGATCTGATCAAAGTTTGTCCCATTATAGCACGGTGGTAATGCTACTGAACACAGTGAAAGGTATTCTCAATTTGACCACCTGATGGATACTTTGACAGAAACTATCTTGGAAAGATGCATCTGAAACAGATAGATCAGTCAATATCAGTCAGTGGTGATATTATGGAGCCATTCTGGATGATGGACATTGAAGTCCTCCACCCAGATTACAATCTGCATACTTGTACCCAAGTATTATTATGCTTCTTCATAATAATGTTCAACATGGATGAGTATTAATACATGAGCGGATTAGCATAGGTAATAATCAGGAATGATGGGGAGGCGATGGCGTGATAGTATTATCGCTGGACCCAGAGACCCAGATAACATTCTAGGGACCCGGGTTTGAATCCCGCCATGGCAGATGGTAGAATTTGAATTCAGTAAAATATCTGGAATTAAGAATCTAATGACGATCATGAATCCATTGCCGATTGTCAGGAAAAACCCATCTGATTCACTCATGTCCTTTAGGGAAGGAATCTGCCATCCTTACCTGGTCTGGCCTACATGTGACACCAGACCCACAGCAATGTGGTTGACTCTTAACTGCCCTCTGGGCAATTAGGGATGGGCAATAAATGCTGCCTGGCCAGTGACGCCCTCATCCTGTAAATGAATAAAAAAAACATAAGGAAGAAGTTACCTTGCTTATGTTAGATCAGATGCTATGATATTTCATGGGGTCCAGTGTTAATGTTGAGGACTCCCAGGGCAACTCTCTCACAACTGTGATGCCCCTACAATGGAGCTGTTAATTAGGAAGACTTTACAGGGTTGATACAGCTGGTTTTCCCACTGTTGTTTCTGGTGCCTTGGTAAATGTTTTCAGGTTTTTTCTTAGAAGTACTAATTTTAATACAACTGATTAACTTATCAGGACACCATATTTTCTTCTCTAAATGTCACTAGTCAACTAGATGGGTTTTAAAACAATCGATAATGATTTAATTAGACTGGCTTTTCATTTCAGATCGATGAATTCAAATTTCAGTTGGCCGTATGGAACAGAACACGTGTCCCAGAGCATTAGCCAGTATCTCTGGATTAACCATTTAGTGACATTAGCACAACATCACTACCTTCCCATGGTTAAATAAGGAATTGTGGAAGGGAATGGTAACATCATGTGAATGTTACTGGACTAGTAGTCGAGCTACCTGTGCTCATTCGCTGGGGACCAATTCAAATTCTGCTTCAGCAGCTGGGAAATTTAAATTCAATCAATTAATAAAGCTGGAGTGAAATGTTTCGCTTATTGATAACGAAAGTGGATTGCTGTAAGGAGAAATAATCTGCCATCCTTCCTGGTCTGGCCTTCATGTGATTCCAGACCCACCCTGATGTTGACTCCTAACTGTTCTCTGCAAGTCATTCAGGTGCCTCATCACCACCTGCTATGGGGCAATTATGGAGGGATACCTTCCCAGTGTTTAAAGTAAACAAGAAGCCCATCAACTCATTCTCCCATACACAAGTCACTCTGAAATGAGCTTTAGCAATTAATTCAATTTTTAGTGAGGAACCTTCCCAAGTGTTCGCTCTGAGAACAAGGCAGGGTGAAATTTCAGTGTTGTTCCAGAGTTTCCAAGGCTTTTCCTCTGAACAAGTGGTAGAAACCCACCCACATCAATTAAATATAAATGCACTTTTTACATTTACAACCTGGAGTAATATGTTGGATGTGAATATATGTGATATTAAAGTCAGAGCATTCTGCATTGAATTTTAAACAGCCAGTTCTATCGTTCAGCATTATTGCTATGTTTACTCCTAATTTTGTTTTGGATACAGTGAGCAATACCACACAATTCTGTATTTTTCAGCGAAACAAGAAATTGCAACTATCATAGCATCCACCATCCCGGTTTCCCTGTCAGTCACTATTATGATGTTACTTGTGTACTTTATGAACAAGTAAGTACTGCTCAGGTTTCAAGTCATTTTTTCATTTCAAGTTACTAAATGCAATTATTCCAAGGGGCAACACTTCTTGTCATGTATTCCAAATCACAATAGTTAGTCTATTAAACACCAGCGACTATAATTCATTTTTATTATTCAAAAATACATTACAAAAATAGTTATTCTGTAAATAAGGATCGGAGGTCTTGTGGTGGAGAGGGGAGCCTCTCTGCCCCTGAGCTCCATGCTCAAATTCCACTCCAGGGATTAATGGTCAAGGAATGCGCATTCGTAACACAACTAAATAGGTTGAGTATCATCTTGGAATGTCATCATATGTACCAATGGTAGGTGGCAACAGTGGGAGAGACCCTTGGTCAGCCACTTGTTGGAAGGAAAATTGAAGCTTCTACCATTGCTATCCATAGCTCCAGGCTACGGCACCTAAGTAAACACCCAAATTGAACTCCTTTGGAGTGCCAGTTGGCTCATTGGTTATTAAGGATCAGATTTATCTCAACATCATGTGTTTTGATCTCTGATCTGTCTGGGGCGGATTTCAGACTTGCCTTTTTGGCCTACTTGTGGAGGACCTTTTGTTGTGCGGTTTTATGCCAATATCTAAGCGTTTAGGTTCTAGATAGACTGGTCAAGGTGAAGGCAAAGTCATGAAACATCTTCAGGCTTGGACTTCTCTATAACTGTTTATTGTTTGCTAATACAAATTACTATCGTACACAGTGGCTCAGTGGCTAGCACTGCTGCCTCAGAGCAGCAGGGACCCGTGTTCAATTCCAACCTCAGTCGACTGTTTATGTGGATTTTGTACGTTCTCCTCATGTCTGCGTAGGTTTCTTCCAACAGGCCAAAGATGTGCAGGTTAGGTGGATTGGTCATGTGTGACAATGCCGTCACTTTAAAAAGGTTATTTTGCCATTGGTTTCTTGAAGAGCGGTTGTAAAGGCAGAAGTACAAAAGAGTCTAGGGAATAATAGTTTAACAATGAAAGTGGAGCAGCCAGTTCTCCCAGTTAAGCTTTTTACTAATTTTTTTTAGCTGTGGTAGTCACAAGATGTTTTGAGCAGCAGAAGTGTTGCAAATTTCAGTAAAGAATTCCTCTGACTCTCTCTGAAATTTCTCTCTGGATGTTGTACTCTGCTGCCAGTAAGAATCTGTGTTTGAATTTACCTTTTTGCCAAGGGGTCTGTTTATGGCATGTTATGGCACTATATAGAAACAGTTAATTAGTTAAGTTGCTGTACCGGGTCAGTTCAGTTTTCCCATAGTTAAGTTACTCTAAATTCCAGGTTCTTATGTCGTGTTTCAACTGTAATGTTTAAATGAACTTTGTTTTGCTTAAAGCCGAGTGGTTTCACCAGTTGCATCACTCCTGGAACACCCACTACACATCTGCCTTTAAAATAAGAAAAAGTTAGGGTCTAGGCTACCTTCTTAAAATACTTTGAGAGGGTCTGGCCTGGTCCATAACATATGCTAGACCACCCATAGTGTCCAGGGACATGCAGGCTAGGTGGATTAGCTAGGGAACTGCAGGGTTACAGAGATAGAGTTGGGGCAGGGAGCGGAGAAGAAGCTCTTCAGAGGGTCAGCCCAGACTCAATGGGCCAAATGGCCTGCTTCCACCTGTAGGGATGCTATGATTTCTATGGCAATCTGAGATACGCCAAAACTGATCTTTCTTTTACTTTATCGAATAACTGTTCTCTACATTTATTTCTCTCTATCCACTTTCTCTCAATCTGTCCTCATCTAATCTCTCAAGTTGGACCAAAGAGTCTGTTTCCATGCTGTATGAGTCTATGACTCTATGACTCTATGACTCTCTAACTAACTCTGCCCATACTGTGCTATTTATGCCCAGCGGGGACCATCTCCTTGACATCATCACAAAGTTGCTTCTGTGTCCTAAACCACTTACTAAATGGGTGGCATGGTGGTTCAGAGGTTAGCACTGCTGCCTCACAGCAATGGGACCCGGGTTCGATTCCACCCTCGGGTGACTGTCTGTATGGAGTTTGCACATTCTTTACGTGGGTTTCCTCCGGGTGCTCTGGTTTCCTCCCAGAGTCTAAAGATGTGCAGGCTAGATGGATTGGCCATGCTAAATTGCCCATAGTGTTCAGGGATGTATAGATTAGGTGGGTCATATGGGGATGAGTCTGGGTCTGGGTGGGATGCTCTGAGGTTCGGTGTGGACTTGTTGGGCCAAAGGGCCTGTTTCCACACTGTAGGTATTCTATGATTACTGAATAGTAGAGATTGCAGCACTGTGCCTTCAGACAGAGCACAGCAAGGAAGGATTAAGACAAATGCAAAATGTTACATGGATTTCTTACCACATTGGAACAACAATAGCTAATCCAATTAAATGGCATTCTATTTCAAACAAGCACTACCAACATTAATATTTGTTTTTCTATTTATTTATTACTTTTTCAAATTTTGCTCTCTAGGAATCCTAAAAACAATTGTCAGAATGTCCCAGATGCAGCACACAGTCATCCTTACCTAAATTCACCAAAATGTCAATCTAAGGTAAGGTTCTTACCTGCAAGGTTGTTAACTTGAAACTCTTGTCAAGATCTTATAGTCTGTGGATCATTCAGATCAGACGTATGACCCAAGATGCATATCAGGACTTCACAGAAGTCTCAATGCACTGACCTCTGTGGAAATTGCTCAGGATCTATGAACCTCCAATGGTCAATTCCCCTGATCCTCCAAATCTTCTGCAAATATCTCTGATTTTGAGAGCTGAATTTACTGTGCCCACTAGAGGTGAGGAAGGAGCTGAGTAGCCTGTACATTAGGTAAGTTTGTTGTGAATTATTCCCAATGCCTTCTGCCTCTGGCCAAGTACATTCCAGGTGGAAAGGCCTGCATGCCACAATGCCACCTCAACTCTACTGAAGACCTGAATGGTCAATTAATGACCTCTTAAGGACCCATTCTGCCATGGTCTAATTCATTGAGCTCCAACTGGGACAAATAACAGGCAGTCTGCCCGAGTGGTTAACCTAGTGTGGAGCTGGAGGAACACAGCAGGCCAGGCAGCATCAGAGGAGCAAGAAAGCTGACATTTTGAGTCGGGACCCTTCTTCAGAAAGTTTGGGAAGCGGCATCATCTGTAATAATTTATGCATGATTGAGAGCATTGACATGGGCATGAGGAGGCCATTGACAATCCTTGACCCAATTCTCCCCACCACCTCCCATCTTGCGAGACTGACCACTCCAAAAACATTTAACTTTATTCCAATCACTCCTGCATCCTGCGAGTCTTATGGATGCTGATCCACCTGCAGCCACAGCTTCCTCCCTTCTGAGTGCTGGAGTTGCTGACCTCTGATTGGGCAGCAGAGCCAGGCACCCAGGATACCTTATCCTCGGTCCTCAGTCATGAGGAAGGCCTATTGATATCCTTGTGAGTGCCTGATGGGCACAAGATCTTGTGGGCCTTCCTTCTGAGGGGTTGTCTTGGCACCTTTATGGGCAGCACATGAAAAATCCATCAAACAAAGAAGATTCTTCTCTGAGTTTGATTTGGAGACTTCAGACAGTTCTGTTTATTTTCCTGAATAGTGACCCAGGACGTGTTGTACAGAAAATTTACTAGTACAACCCCTGGGGAACTATACAATTAACACAACCTTTATCCACCCCAACACCCAATTCTTCCCATCAAAGCCCCCATTACCTGACTTTCCCTCATCCCCCACTCCAGATTGCCCCACCATGCAGAATGTCCCCCCACTACCCAGAATGCCCTGAGACCCCAAGCCTCCCCAGTCCATATTTCACGCAACTCAAACTGACCTCCCACAGCCTAACCTGACCTCCCATAACCCAGTCTGACCTCCCACAACCCAACCCGACCCCTCAGATCCCAACCTGATCTCTCACAACCCAACCAAACTATCCCCTGACCCACTTAACCTACTCACCCACTTAGCACCCTATCCAGCTGCCACCCTACCTACCACATCAAGTTTTCCAACTCACCTCACCCATCTTATCCAATTACACACCTACTCACTCACCCATTCTTACACTCTTTCACTAATACACCAGAAAACTATTTAAATGTCCCAAAGATATTCTGACATTACACAGAGCAGAGAGGAGAATATTCAGCAGAGAGCTCTTCCTGGTCAATAAGAAGCCGGAGGACCAGAACGAAGGGCTGCAAGGGGGTGAAAGTATTACAGAAGACATCAAGTGGATTGCCCAATTGCCAGCTACCTGCAGGTGATGGGAGCACTAGTGCTAGAACAGATTGCAGCTACCCAAGCTGTTTGTATCAGGCATCGGTCCAAAATGGATCGATACCTCACGTTTCAAATGGCTATACCCGACTTACAGCTCTCTGGGACACAGTTGCCCTGAATTTTTATGCATCAGGCAATGTCCTGGGAAAACTGCAAACTGAAATGGCATTATACCAACAAATAGATCACTGCCACTCCAGCAATTCAAGATATCCCCTGAAAGTATAAGTATAGCATTCTTCCCCGTGGGTGTCATTTTCCCATATATTGCACTTTTCTTCACTGTAGAACACAACACATTACAAGCCACCACCCACCTGTTCACCACTGCTAATAAGTCTCTCGACTTCAAGGGTGAAAGTGGCCCAGAATATAGACTCGTATATAATTTTTTTAATGGAATCAAAATTTTGGTAAGCATACTACAATGATAGTGGTCTCTAAAATGAACTTACAAAATTGATATAAAAAATAAAATGCTATGGATGCTAGAGATCCGAAATAAAAATAGAGAACGCTGGAGAAACACAGCAGGTCCAGCAGCATCTGTGGAGAGAGAGACAGAGTTAATGTTTCAGGTCTGATATGACTGTTCTTCAGAATTAAGTTTCTCCATCACTTTCAATTTTGAAAATAAAATTGACAGTCAGGGAATGACCAGCTGGTCCATCAAGGCAACCCCACACACTGTGCTGGCTGGGGCATCAGAACTGAACACCAGCACCCACCAACCCCTGTTTCCATGTAATGACAGAAAAGAGGTAAAACAAAAGACAATGGAAAGAATAACCTGAAAAATTACTGTCCAAGTGGCTCAAAGCCAGACAGGGAGATTATGACTAACTTCTACCTGTTTACTATATTCTAATGCATTTAAACATCGAAAGGATTCAAAATACTAAAGAGTGAACATGAAGGCGTGAAATTCCTCTGTGTAATAGGATTTCATTAACCTGTCTCGTTCGAAAATCTTTAATTTTGATCTCTTTAACCCACAGAATAATTTTGATGCAAAAGAGCTGGAAAAGGCCTCTGAGACCATCAGAACTATAGGACAACAACTGCAAAGTGAGGAGAATGAGTCATATCAGGTCTATTCAAGGAACGCTGAAGATCCAACTTTGATGGGGAGCCACACGGGTCAGCTACCACCATCTCGGAACTTACAGTCAAACTTGACTTGTCTGTTACTGAACTCAGAGGAGGTATTTCAGGTGTAGGTTAAAAAGGAGTTGGAATTCCAAGTCCGTACATTTGCACAGGGAATAATATTGAAAAAATTGTTGAAACATAGAGTATGGCCTTCATGGCTTGGTGGCAACAAAAGTGAACTAAAAATATCTCACAGTAGAAATATTATCATCATACTGTTGAAAGAATCCTAAATTGTCCAGGAAGACAGTGAGTCACAGTGGGCAGACCGCAGTTAATCCTTCATTATGCTGAATCATTTCCTTCGCCAAATCAAATCTTCAAATGCCTGAAACCTTCAGTTCAGCTTCTAGAAGATGTGAAAAAGATGTCAATCAAACCTATTTTGATGCATGTGCTCAATGACTGAATGACTTGTGCTTGGAGACAGTCCAGCACCTTGTTTCCCAGTTTCAAATGAACTACTTAAATGTTAATATGAGTATTGCTGAAAAAGACAAGTTTTCTTGAAGCTTTGCATCTTGCTTTCATCAGAACAATTTGCAAGAATATCAATTCAAGAAGTAAAACAAAATAAATACTGTATGGAAGGACAGCACTAATTGTTTGGCATTTTAGGGATACTGATCGATAGAGTCAGTACAGTGGAAAAGGTACCAATTAATGATGGTTGACAGCTAACTGTCAGACTTTGTTTAAGTTTTAAACCAGGCAGGTTTACATTAATTGGTCAGGGCATTGCCCCAAGAGCTGAGCCAGGGAGTGGCTGTCAGCTATTTTGTTGAGTTGAAACACACGCAGTGTGTGTACATGTCCTTTCCATCTACAAAGAATAGGGCCCTGTATATTAACACATTTAACTTCCAGTCCATGCAAGTACACTGATGGAGGGTTTTATGAAAGGTCGAGGCTTCAGACCTGAGCGGAGCGTGACAAGATAAATTTATTCAAGCTTATACCACATGCATGCAGGAAAGGTCTTCCAAGTCAAGCTCAAAGACACTCCACCGTTTACAGCTCAAAACAACACATTTATACATCTTCACATCATAATGGTTACATACAACATTGGTATAAAAGAAATTATGTGACAATCAAGTGTCCATCATTCTCTTTTTTAGCTTTTGCAAACTTAAGTTGTTGTTTTGCATTTTGTGACTCCTGGGCCTCATATTCTCTCTGGTTTGTGCTGCAATCTAGGGTTTTATCAGAGCATCTGATATTTTCAAGGCTTATCTGTCCTTACCATCTCCTCTCTATGCCCTAAGCTCCTACTTATATTGCTGCATAGTTATTTCGAGCAGTATAGGTGATCTCTGACCCCTAAGTGACTGGTGACTGTCCTCTTTTATGGTCATGTGGTCAAATTGCCTAAGTTGCACTAGCTGTTTCCTGATATGGATGTGTTTTGCTCTGAGTCCTACTCTCTACTGCTTGTCTAAGCTTTTTTTCTTCAACTGTGTTCCATGTTTCATACTATTCTGCTCCTTTCCATGGGTTTTCCATTTCTTACACTCTCCTATCTTCCTTACCTTTTTTTCATGCAGCATATGGCAAGCCTGACTAACAATCCTAAATTGGGTGTTAATGCAATATTCCATACACTCAGGATTATCCAGCAAATATCCAATTGCAGTCTCCATCTAATGTTGGACACTGTTGTAAGTTTTACAAGTGAAGGCCAGTTGGATATGGTCAGTATCTTGCTTGTTGTGAAGAAAATATGCCATTTTATATGACTCTTTGGGACATACTGCCTGTCATACCTGACATCACACCAGCACTGAAATTCATAAACCACATTATTCAATGTGTGATAGGCAGACCATTTTTTTGGTTTGACAGCAAGATCATATTAGTGGCGAACAACACTCATTTTGCTGCTGCACAGTAACAGTGTGAAACAATTAATTTCATCTTTTGCTCAAAACTTTGAGACACCGTACCCTTCCAGGGTGCTCTGAGGTAGACTGGGCATTTTCCAGAACCAAGAATAACTACCTTAGGTTTGTTCATGAATTTGCACAAAAGCCAGAAATAGTCTCATTAAGGTAGCCACTGTCCTGCATTAACAAGATCACCAATAAGGCCAATATTATTGTGCATGGATTGTAGAAATCCCACAAGGTATGCTGACCAGTGAGGGTAGGTTTGTAGGTGACAGTAGTAGGAACCCCCTGGTTGATTCCTCACTAGGATAATGAGGAAAGGGAGTTCATTTGACTGGTCCATGCTTAACGTTACTTTGATTGCAGGATGGGGCCCATTAAGACATGCACAGAAATTCTTGCGTGCACAGCTGCGGATTCACATTCAGCATCCATAGCATCTATGCATTGGAAATATACAAGTGGCAGGAGAGCTGTTGTCACTTCATCGAAGACACATTTCTCATGGAATGCAATAAATATGTATGTGAGCGCTGGATCTAGCAGTGATCCCATGACAACACTATTTATTTGGGTGCACTTGATGTCATTGAAACTGAATTCACTGCACAAGTTGCAGAGTTCATAAGTGAATACTGATTTACACAATGGTGACATGTCTAGATCTGTCTCTTTTATCAGGCAGTACTCAAGTTCTGTACTGCGACTATAAATATTAATTATTTCCTAACAGCTGGAAAAGATCTTTATGACAATGTTTGCACAATAACTTGAGGGGCGGTTATATTACCATTAAAGTATTTCACGGTAGAAGTGACTGCAGGGGAGAAAGAAAACATTTATTCAGTCTGTCCAGCCTGTCAATTTAATTGTGATTTATTAATTCAGTCGGGAATTTAATTTCAGATTATTTTCCCAAATAAACAACTGCAAAGTTAACCAACACCAGGAAAGTGTATGTAATTAAATTCTGTTCCAAAACACAGATTGATTGACTTCATCCATAACTGTGGGTATAGAGTTGGTGAAGCAGAGCATCTAATGCCACATGATTTAGGCTTCACTCTGCACTCATAAGGTCAAAAAATCTCATTCACAAACTTATAGGAACTGGGTGTTGACATCAGCGCAGCAGTAAAACAGGGCATTTGGGACCTGAGTAGACAGAGCCAGCAACAGACATGTCCTTAATCACGGAGACTGAAGGATTAAGAAATAAACTCAGGAAAAACTAGGAAGTTAAATACAATATTCAGTGTTAAATGGTGGACAGAAAGAATAACAGAGAGCAAAGGAAAGGGAGAAAATAAGACAGAGAAAAGGGCATAAGAAATTATGTTTACTTGCGCTAAATAGCTGCAACAGGTTTAGTTTATACTTACCATATTAAAGCTTTTTACTTTATATTCAGCAAAACAGGAATCAAGCTTTTAAATTACAAAACTGCTGTAAGAACAATAAAACCCCGTTAGCAGCTCAGGGGTAAATCTAGATCGAGTACCCACAAAAAGAGGCCAATTATCAGACACCTAAAGCAAATTCAATCTTCCAGAGGAAAGAAAACAAATTGTTTCCACCCGAAAAGACTAGACTAGGAAACAGAGTTAAGTCTTCAAACAATGATATCACAATCTCCTAATGATTTGACAACAAAGTTAACAACAAGCAAGTTAAGAAAGTTCTTCAGAAACAGGCCTAAAGTAAATCAATTTTTAAAAATTGGGAACAAAATTGTTTATTGGAATTTGTGATTTCAGAGTCCTAACTGTGAAGTTAGTTAAATCTTTATTATTTCAATGGTGTGAGTGAGTGATACAAGTTTTGTTTGACTACTAAGAAACTTTATCAATTTCAGTCACTAAAGAACAACAGAGATAAGAAAACGAGCCTAAATCTCTGGTAATTCTGTGTCAAATTCAGCACAAGACTAACTCGGACACAGAAAGAAATATTGGTATGAACAAGGTCATTGAAACCATATTTGAATTGAATTTTATCGATTGAGATCATTTGGGAAAGCATCTACTCACAGATCTTTTAGAAATCCTTCAGCTGTCTCAGAAAAGGAAGATCTTCAATCATCTCTCTGAAAGTGTCAAATTGGTAAAGAACAATAGAACTTAACATTGAAACCAACATTTAAAACAGCAGAAATATAACAGTGTGCAGTTTATTGCTACAGTAAGATGCTTTATAACAAAATGATTCAATAACAACCATAATCAACCAAGAATGTAACAAGGCAACAAACTGGGATAGTCTTAACTTCGGTGATAGGCAAACGACAGGAAGCAATTCTGACTTACAGAATTAATCTGTATTTGGAAAGGCAGGAGTTAATCTAGAACAGTCAGTGTGGTTTTGTTCAGGGGAGGTCATGTCTGACCAACATGACTGAATTTTTTAAAGAGGTGACCAGGTGTGTATATGAGTACAATGCTTTTGATGTGGTCTACTTGGACGTTAGCAAGGCTTTTGATAAAGTCCCACTTGGGAGAATTATAGCAAAGGTAAAAGCCCATAAGCTCCAATGAAATTTGGCAAATTATATTCACAATTGTCTGAGTACCAGGAAGGTTGAGAGCTTTTTCCAACTGGAAGTAGGTGTACAGTGGGGTCCCACAAGGGTCAGTGTTGCTGTTTGTGGTATACATAAATAACTTAGGCTTGATTGTAGGAGGGTTGATTAGTAAGTTTGCAGATGATACAAAAATTGCTGGGTGGTATAAAGTGAGGAGGATAGCCTTAGAATACAAGAGGATATAGATGGGATGGTCAGATGGGCTATTTTGTGGCAAATGATCAATCCGAATAAGTGTGAGGTGATGCACTTGGGCAGGACAAACAAGGCAAGGGAATACAGGATCGTCAGTAGGACCCTGGGAAGCACTGAAGATTAGAGGGACTTTAGTGCGCTTGTACACTGGTCCCTTACGCGAACAGGACAGGTGGACAATGTAGTTAAGTAGGCTTATGGTATACTTGCCTTTATTAGTCAAAGCATAGAGTTTAAGAGCAGGGAGGTTATGCTGGAACTGTATCGAAATTTGGTTATGCCACAGCCAAAGTATTGTGCGTAGTTCTGGAATCCACATTACAGGCAGAAATGTGATAGCATTGGAAAAGGTACAGAGGAGATTTACCAGGTTGTTGCCTGGGCTGGAGAGTCATAGATTCATAGAAACAGACCCTTCGGTCAAACACACCCATGCCGACCAGATATCCTAAATTAATCAAGTCCCATTTGCCAGCATTTGGCCCATATCCTTCTAAACCCTTCCTGTTCAAGTACCCATCCAGATGCTTCTTAAATGTTGTAATTGTATCAGCCTCAATCACTTCCTCTGGCAGCTCATTCCATACATGCACAACCCTCTGCATGAAAATGTCGCCTCTTAGACCCCTGTTAAATCTTTCCTCTCTCACCTTTAACCTATGCCTCTAGTTTTGGACTCCCCTACCCTTGGAAAAGAAAGTTTTAGCTATGAAAAGAGATTGGATAGATTGGTACAGAGATAGTAGGAACTGCCGATGCTGGAGAATCTGAGATAACACGGTGTAGAGCTGGATGAACACAGC